AAAATCTGAATAGACGTATAACAATTAAAGAGGTTGAATTGGTGATTTGAAAACTTCCCATAAAGAAATGTTTAGGCCCAAATGGTCTCAGTGGAAATTTTCACCAAATATTTAAAGAATAATTCATACCAATTCTTCACAAAATCTTCCAATAAATAAGAGGAGGAGGCCGGGCACGGTGGCTCACACCTGTAATCCTAGCACTCTGGGAGGCTGACGCGGGCGGATTGCTCGAGGTCAGGAGTTCGAAACTAGCCTGAGCAAGAGCGAGACCCCGTTTCTACTATAAATAGAAATAAATTAATTGGCCAACTAATATATATAGAAAAAATCAGCCGGACATAGTGGCACATGCCTGTAGTCCCAGCTACTTGGGAGGCTGAGGCAGGATTGCTTGAGCCCAGGAGTTTGAGGTTGCTGTGAGCTAGGCTGATGCCACGGCACTCACTCTAGCCTGGGCAACAGAGTGAGACTCTGTCTCAAAATAAATAAATAAAAATAAGAGGAGGAAACATTTCCCAACTCATTCTATGAGTTGTATTATACAAACCAGTATTACCCCAATATAAAACCACACAAAGACATTACAAGAAAACTGCAGATCAATATCCCTTATGAGGCCGGGCGCGGTGGCTCACGCCTGTAATCCTAGCACTCTGAGAGGCCGAGGCAGGCGGATTGCTCGAGGTCAGGAGTTCGAAACCAGCCTGAGCAAGATCGAGACCCCGTCTCTACTATAAATAGAAAGAAATTAATTGGCCAACTAATATATATGGAAAAAATTAACCGGGCATGGTGGCGTATGCCTGTAGTCCCAGCTACTCAGAAGGCTGAGGCAGGAGGATTGCTTGAGCCCAGGAGTTTGAGGTTGCTGTGAGCTACGCTGACGCCATGGCACTCACTCTAACCTGGGCAACAAAGCGAGAATTTGTCTCCAAAAAAAAAAAATATATACCTTATAAATGAAGATATACATCTTCTCAAACAAATACTAGCAAACTGCAACATATCAAAGTATCATATACCATTATCAAGGGGGTTTATCTCAGGAATGAAAGTGGGTTTAACATCCAAAAATCAATTGATCTATACCATATTTCTAGAATAAAGCACAAAACCCACATTATCTCAATTAATGCAGAAAAACAGCATTTGACAAAATCCAATATCCTTTCATGATTAAACATGTAAATAAACACTGAACAAACTAGAAATTGAAGGGAACTTCTTTAACTCAAAATCTGATGACGAAAAAAAAACCTGATGAAGAGCATCTATGAAAAATCCACATACTATCTTATTCAATAGTGAAAGGCTTTCACCCTAAGAGCAGGAATAAGACAAGGTTATCCACTCTCATCATGTTTATTCAACATTGCACTAAAGGTTGTAGCTACAGCTATTCATCAAGAAAAAAAGAAATAAAAGGAATCCAGATTGGAAAGCAAGAAGTAAAACTATTTCTATCATAGATGATATGATATTATAGATAGAAAATCCTAAGGATTCCATAAAAACATTATTATTACTACAAAATGAGCTGAGCAAGTTTCAAAATACCAGATTAGTATACAAAAATCAACTGTATTTTTATACACTAGCAATGAACAAATATAAAAATGAATTTAAGAATATGATTCCATTCACAATAGCATCAAAAAGAATAATATATGCAGGAATAAATTTAACAAAAGAAGTAAAAGACTTGCAACTATAAAACAGTATTAAAAGTAATTAAGGCCGGGCGCAGTGGCTCACGCCTGTAATCCTAGCTCTCTGGGAGGCCGAGGCAGGCGGATTGCTCAAGGTCAGGAGTTCAAAACCAGCCTGAGCAAGAGCGAGACCCCGTCTCTACTATAAATAGAAAGAAACTAATTGGCCAACTGATATATATATATATAAATTAGCCAGGCATGGTGGCGCATGCCTGTAGTCCCAGCTACTCGGGAGGCTGAGACAGAAGGATCGCTTGAGCCCAGGAGTTTGAGGTTGCTGTGAGCTAGGCTGATGCCATGGCACTCACTCTAGCCTGGGCAACAAAGTGAGACTCTGTCTCAAAAAAAAAAAAAAAAAAATTAAGACATTTTAAAATTTATTTTATTCTGAGCCCAATTTGAGGACCATGACCCGGAGCCACTGCCAAGAGGCCTTAAGCTAGTGGACTCCAACTCACACTTTCTGATTTCAAAACTTACAACGCACAAATCTACAAAAATCAAGACAGTGTGGTAATGGCATAAGAACAGATATACATCAATGGAATAGAATGGAGAGTTCAGGTTTTTGACAGGGGTGTCAAAATATTTCAATAGGGACAAGAATAGTCTTTAACAAATGGTGCCAGGGCACAACTAGCTATTCACATGCAAAACAATAGAGTTGGGCCCTTATCTTACACCTTTGTGCAGGTGTAATATACCTAAAATATATGGACCTAAATATATGGAAATCTAATACACTGTACAATATACCTGTATAAATACATCTTTTATACAATATTTAAAAATTAACTAAAATGGATCCAAGACCTAAACAGAAGAGCCAAAATGATTAAACTCTTTGAAGAAAACATAGGGAAAGAGCTTCAGGACATTGGATAGGCAATGGGTTCTTGAATAGCACAGGCAACAAAAGGAAAAATAGATAATTGAACTATATCAAAAGCAAAAACTTCCGTGTGTCAAAGGACAAGCAGGGCAGGCACAGTGCCTCATACCTGTAATTCCAGCACTTTGGGAGGCCAAGGTGGGAGAATGGCTTGACACTAGGAGTTCGAGACTAGCCTGGGCAAGATAGTGAGACCCTAACTCTTTATTTATGTATTTATTTATTTTGAGACAAAATAAATAAATTGTTGCCCGGGGTAGAGTGCCATGGCATCAGCCTAGCTCACAGCAACCTTAAACTCCTGGGCTCTAGCAATCCTCCTGCCTCAGCCTCCCGAGTAGCTGGAACTACAAGCATGCACCATCATGCCTGGATAATTTTTTTTCTATATATTTTAAGTTGTCCAGCTAATTTATTTCTATTTTTGTAGTAGAGACAGGGTCTCACTCTTGCTCAGGCTGGTCTTGAACTCTCGACCTCAAGTGCTCCGCCCTCCTTGGCTTCCCAGAGTGCTACAATTATAGGCATGAGCCACTGCACTAAGCCTATGAGACCCAATCTCTACAAAAGAATTAAAAAATTAGCCAGGCGTGGTGGTGCATACCTGTAGTCCCTACTCAGGAAGCTGAGGTGGGAGGATCGCTTGAGCCAAGAAGTTTGAGGCTACAGTGACCTAGGATGATGCCACCCCCCTAATACCTGGGCAACAGAGCAAGACTTTATTTCAAATTTTTAAAAATGGAAAGAAAAAAAAGGACAAACAACACAATGAAAAGGCAACCTATGGAATGCAAGAGAATATTTTTAAATTATGTAGCTGATAAAAGGAAGATACACAAACAGCCGAGAAGCATAGCAAAAGATACTCAACATCACTAATCACTAGGAAAATACAAATCAAACCCACAATGAGATGCCTCACAGTGAGATACTAACCTCACATTCAATATGATGGCTACTATAAAACAAAAAAACCCCAAAACCAGAAAATAAATGTTGGTGAGGATGTGGAGAAACTGGAACCCTTGTGCACTGTTGATGGGAATGTAAAATGTTGCAGCCACTATGGAAACCAGTATGGCAGTTCCTCAAACATTAAATAGAGATTTCCATATAATCCAGAAATTCTACTTCTGGATATACACACAAAATAACTGAATAAGTCTATTTTAGAGATATTTATACACTCATGTTCATAGCAGTATTCTTCATGATAGCCAAGAGGTGGAAGCAACCCAGTGTCCATCAACAGATGAAAGAGTTAGGAAAATGTGGTATATCCATACAATGGAGCAGTACTCAGCCTGAAAGAGGAAGGAAATCATGACACATGCTACAACGTGGATGAATCTTGAGGACATTATGCTAAGTGAAATAACCCAGTCACAAGAGGACATAGACTGCATGATTCATTTATACAGAGGTGCCAAGAGTAGTCAAATTCATAGAGACAGAAAATAGAATGATGGTTGGCAGGGTCTGGGGGAAGGGAAAATAGAGAGTTGTTTAATGGATACAGAGTCTGTTTTGTAGGATAAAACAGTTCCAGAGGCTGGTTGCATAACAGTGTGAATGAATATATTTAACACTACTGAATTGTACAGATAAAAATGTTAAGATATAAATGATTTGTTTGGTCTAGTAAAAAAAAAAAGAAATGTTAAAATGGTAACTTTTATGTAATGTACATTTTTACCACTAAAAAGACCATAACAAATTCTTAATTATGTTTTCAGAAATGCTAGATGGTGGCTGAGCGTGGTGTCTCACGCCTGTAATCCTAGCACTCTGGGAGGCCGAGGCAGGAGGCTCTCTTGAGCCCAGGAATTTGAGGTTGCTGTGAGCTAGTCTGATGCCACCGTATTCTAGCCTGAGAAACAGAGTGAGACTGGTCTCAAAAAATCAATCAATAAATAAAAAAGACTGCTAGACAGTACAACATTGTCATTATCAGATTGGAGACAATTTTTATTTTTCTGTTACCCTGAGTAAATCCCTTGACTTCTGTAAGTCAATTTCTCAATTTTTGTATGTATCAGGCTTTGTCCAGATATAATTCTCAACTATTTTCTAAGGAACAAACTAAAGTTTGCTCAAGGTTGCACAAAAGATGGAGCTCTCCCTGGATCCCCCTGGCCTGACCCTAAAGCCTGGTGAGTTCTTCTCCATCAGTTTGTAACACCATCAAACTGGCCATACCCTGAGAACCAAAATTCAGATCGCTTTGGAGATGAGTGATTCTCTTGATTTTGATGAACATTGCATGTGTGGACCATGGATGAGTAAATAAACAAAGGAATGAATGCAAACAGGAATCACTAACTTGACAGACTCACGGAGCCTTGAAGAGGGAGTGGTCTGGGGAAGAAGGCATTGAGGAAGGAGAAGGGCAAAGTGGGGAAATTTCATTCTGCGCTTACCAGAGCTTGCAGTCCGCCCTGTGCTGAGGACAGAGGCCACGGGAGATCGGCCTGGATCTGTTGCCAGCCTAGAAAGAGACCAACTCAGACACAGCTGTGTATGCTCCCAGCAGCAACAGAAGTTCAGGCAAGATGTCCTAAAGAGGGAAGGGTAACAAGATCAATGGGGAGACTTGGTGGGTTTGTGCATAGCAGAGGGGACACATTTTTCTTTAGGAAGATCACTCTGGCTCCCATGGGGAAGGCAACTTAAAGGGGACAAAATAGGAGGAGGTAAGATCTAACCCCAAACACCAGGGGGACGTGATTTTTTAGAAGGACTCTTGCCAGAGCTTGGTGATCAACTATATGCAGGGATGGTCGGGGAGAGGAAGGGGTCTCCATGGTCAACTCTCAGGTTCTTCAGTGACAGAGCCCAAAGGAATTGATCTGCAATCAATTCGGTGGGGGTGGGGTGAGGGGTGAGGGGCAGGAACGAACAGAAGAGAAGGGGGCTGACATTTTTGCTGGGTGCCTCACATGATGCCAAGTGCTTCTCTGGCTCCAACATGGGGGACTTTTATGTTGTCGCTCAGGTATAAGGGTCTCTGCGTTTGATTTTTGAGAGGTGAGGTGGAGTCTGATGCTCTAGCCCAAAGATAGCGGAGGAGGCCAAACTCGGGATGGGATAGAGAGGAAATGGCTTTCAGAGAATAGGGAAGGAAAAAGTCTGAAGAAGCAAAACTGTTCAAAACCCAGTACTTTTTCCATTTTTACATCATGTAAACAAACACCATCCTGTGGGCCACTTGATCCTCATGACCCTCCGGAGAACTCAGCAGAGCTGGGTCACTGCCTTCCCCAGGGCTAACAGGGTTACTAAGCTGGCATGGGAACCCAGGTGACCCAGAGCCTCAGTACAGAGCACTTGCTGGATGTAGGATAAGGGTGCTGTGTGTCCCTGGCCCTTTTCAGGGGAGCAGGGCATGGACCTGAACTATTTCATTATTTGTCATAGATAAAAGTCTAGAGAGAAGGTGAGGGCACAGGTGAGGGCACAGCGTATTTCCTCCAACTTGGGAAGACTCCTCCAGGGCCCACCCACTAACCCCAGGTCCCCTTCTGAGCCGCCCCAGCCTGGGGGTGAGGGAGCCCCCCCACCGGCCAACTTTCTCAACCCTAAGTTCAAGGAGTCTCAGGACCCCAGCACTGAAGGAACAGGCTCTGACCGCATCTTTCACTGTAGGGATGGGAGACTGAGGCAGAGGGTGAAGGGGCTTCCTGTCTAGAGCTCTTTTCCCTCAGGCCTCGGTCTCCCTGCCCTGGATCCCTCTGCAGGGACAGAAAGACATGGCCTGGATATTGATGTCACTTCTGCTTCTGGGATGGGCAGCCACCATGTGCAGCGCTCGGGACAGGAGTGACCTGCTCAATGTCTGTATGGATGCCAAGCACCACAAGACAGAGCCAGGTCCTGAGGACAAGCTGCATGACCAGGTATGGCAGGAGTGTGGCTCTAGCTGGGGAGGGGGCTGGTTCTGACTGGGAGGAGGAAGTGAGTGGTGGGGGAGGGGTTGAGGGGCCAGACACCTCCACACCCTGAGTGTTTGCTGTGGGGAAGATGGAGCAAGGACAGTGGTTAAGGTGATTTTAGGGGTGTCCTCCCCAGAGGAGAACACCATGTTGGCAATGATATTGAGTAGGCCGGGCGCAGTGGCTCACGCCTGTAATCCTAGCACTCTCGGAGGCCGAGGTGGGTGGATTGTTTGAGCTCAGGAGTTCAAGACCAGCCTGAGCAAGAGCAAGATCCCGTCTCTACTAAAAATAGAAAGAAATTAATTGGCCAACTAAAAATATATATAAAAAAATTAGCTAGGCATGGTGGCGCATGCCTGTAGTCCCAGCTACCTGGGAGGCTGAGGCAGAAGGATTGCTTGAACCCAGGAGTTTGAGGTTGCTGTGAGCTAGGCTGATGCCATGGCCCTCTAGCCTGGGCAAGAGAGAGACTCTGTTTCAAAAAAAAAATGATATTGAGTAATCACTGGTTGAGCCCTTACTAGATGTCATGTGTTTTGTGTACGTGATTTCATATTCCCAGCAGTGCTTTGACGTAGGTAGATGTCTCCACATTACACAAAGAGGGAAAACTGAGGCTCACAGAAGCACATGAACCCATGCAAGAGTTGGACATGACCAGTCCTTGTGGTTGTGTAGGGGTGGCACTGGGGTGGGCTCCTCCTTTGGGGGTGAGAAACTACGAGCAAATGGCTCTTCCATGCTCCACTACATGCTGGTTCTGTGGAGTGCCAAGGATAGAAGAGGACAGACAGTGCCTCTGACTGTGACACAGGGGCTCAGCATTCACATAGTCTATAGAAATTTATGCCAGTGGATTGCAGTCCTATCAGACTCAATGTCTCCTTTTTATGACAGATATTTTTAAGACTCTCTTTTCTATCCTGAAAAGAAATTTAAAGCTAATAGAACCCATTTGTATATATAATTTAATCGGGAGGGTGGGAGGGGGGAGGAAGGGATGGGTATATACAACCACAACGAGTAAGATGTGCAATGTGTGGGGGATGGACATGCTTGAAGCTCTTACTCGAGGGGGGAGGGGAGCATGGGCAATATATGTAACCTTAACACTTGTACCCCCATAATACGCTAAAATAAAAAAAAATCAACATAATGCTCTATCTGTAATATGAAGCAGCAAACAGAAAGTACCTTATAATAACATATTTCAATATCTTTATTTTCTTGCATGACTACATTAGAAACATTAGGAAAAAGTACATGTTTGTTTCTTTAACAATTTTTTTTTTTTTTAGAGACAGAGTCTTGTTTTGTTGCCTGGGTTGGAGTGCAGTGGCGTGATCATAACTCACTGCAGCCTCAAACTCCTGGGCTCAAGTGATCCTCCCACCTCATTCTCCAGAGTAGCTGAGACTAAAGGAGCATGCCACACCTCCTGGCTAATTTTTTTTTAATACTGTAGACAAAGGCTATAATGCCCAGCCTGGTATAAAACTCCTGGCCTCAAGCAATCCTCTTACCTTGGCCTTCCAAAGTGCTGGGATTACAGGTGTACATCACTGCACCCAGCCTACACATGCTTTCATCCACAGCATTATTATTAATTGGGTAGCGCCTAATGAAGATTAATACAGGTGTGTTCTATCCACACTTTAAATGCTATGAGATACTCTAAGCAATGTTGCCATTAATGACATAATTTCTTAAAATAGTGAATAACTCCAGCAGAACAAAACACATAACAGCCTTCCATCTCATGGTATTTGCAGTCCTAGAAAACCCAGTCTATATTAAAGACTTATGAAAACATGATGTGTCTATATGTAAGATGCAAATAGGATTAGGTTTCAGAAATCATAAATAGGTCTTTAATTCACTTTTTCAGCAAATATTTTCCTGGGCCTACTATGTGTCTGGCATTGGTCTAGCCATTGGCAATATAAATCTCCTTTTTCTTTTTTTTAAGACAGAGTTCTGGCTCTGTTGCCTGGGCTAGAGTGCTGTGGTGTCAGCCTGGCTCACAGCAACTTCAAACTCCTGGGCTCAAGCAATCCTTCTGCCTCAGCCTCCCGAGTAGCTGGGACCACAGGCATGTGCCACCATGCCCAGCTAATTTTTTTTTTCTATATATATTTTTAGTTGTCCAGATAATTTATTTCTATTTTAAGTAGAGACGGGGTCTCCCTCTTGCTCAGGCTGGTTTTGAACTCCTGACCTTAAGCGATCCTCCCGCCTCGGCCTCCTGGAGTGCTAGGATTACAGGCGTGAGCCACCGTGCCCAGATGCAACACAGATCTTAATACTAGTCAAGAAGAATAAATCTATTCAAATTATAGTACTGCATGGCCAACTTCTCCTCTTTTGCCCAAAATGTCACCTTGCAATGAGGCTTTTCCCAACCTATTTAAAACTTCAACAATCATCTCATACTCCACATCTCCCTTCCTTGCTATAATTTCCCCCTTATCATTTATCATATCCTGACATGCCATATTTTTTCTCTCTTAGATTTCTTACTGTCTCCTCTGACTAGGATGTAAGTTTCATGAACACATATTTCTGGTATTTGTTTTCTGCTGTATTCCAGCATCTATGATAGTGACTAGCATAGAGTCGGTGCTCAATAATTATGTTTGTAAATGAATATGTAAAGGGCTTTCTTTTTTGGCAAGCATGAAAATGAAGTTTATTGAGGAAAGAAAGATAGAATTATAGAGCAAGAGCAAGATACAGGTTTATAGAGTGTGATACATATGCCACAGATGACAACCGGACCCATTGTCACACAAAGGGAGAGCAAAAGGAAGGGCACAAAAAGGCTATAAAAGGACTTTCAATAAAGTGTTAAGTGCTGTATAAATGATAACTACACACACCCCCAGCTCCCACAGCCCACCGATCACACTGTTGTAACGGTGTCTCCCCCTGCCACACCCACACCCTGGGATGGGGGTTCCTGGAGGCCAAAGGCAGAGAGGCCATCACAGTGAGTGTTCCCAGAACAACCTGCCTGGGGCAGGGGATCAAGAACCAAACGGGGGAAAAGCTTGAGGTGGCAAAAGGTGGTAGTGGGGGAGAAATTTAGTCCTGTGTCTTTCCCACCCAGTGCAGTCCCTGGAGGAAGAACGCCTGCTGCTCCGTCAACACCAGCCAGGAGCTGCACAAGGACACCTCCCGCCTGTATAACTTTAACTGGGCCCACTGCGGCACCATGGAGCCCGCCTGCAAGCGCCACTTCATCCAGGACACCTGTCTCTATGAGTGTTCACCCAACCTGGGACCCTGGATCCAGCAGGTAGGGTGTCTCCCTCACTCTACCCTGGGAGCTGCCCTCCAGCTCAGTCCCCTTCAAGGCTATGGCTGCCAACATCCCTCGCTGAGAAGAGCCTGCCTCCCCATCTCCCATCCAGGTGGACCAGAGCTGGAGAAAAGAACGTTTTCTGGATGTGCCCTTATGCAAAGAGGACTGTCAGAGCTGGTGGGAAGACTGCCGCACCTCCTACACCTGCAAAAGCAACTGGCACAAGGGCTGGGACTGGACCTCAGGTGAGGGCCTGGAAGTTAGGAGATGGAGTTGGGGTTTGGAACAAGGGGTGTCTGAAGATTTAAGGTTGGTTGAAGATTTTGGAAGGTAGCCAGAAACTGAGCTTTGGACGCAGTCTGTATCCATTATCTCTCTCTCTGCAGGAGTTAACAAGTGCCCAGCCGGGGCCATATGCCGCACATTTGAGTCCTACTTCCCCACTCCAGTTGCCCTGTGTGAGGGCCTCTGGAGTCACTCCTACAAACTCAGCAACTACAGCCGAGGGAGCGGCCGCTGCATCCAGATGTGGTTTGACCCAGCCCAGGGCAACCCCAATGAGGAAGTGGCAAAGTTCTATGCTGAGGCCATGAACACTGGGGCCATGCCCCATGGGACTGGGGCTCTCCTGCTTAGCCTGGCCCTGCTGCTGCAACTCCCTGGCTGAGTCTAGCCCTCCCAAGACTTCCTCTCTGCCTGCCACCAGCTTGGATGACCAGGCTGGGCTCACCTTTTCTCCCACAGATGACAGAGCTCTAAGCATGCCTCCATTCATTACCCCCCTTCTGTTACCCAGTTCCTGCTCCATAGCTTATGGTTCCTCTAAGAGTCAGTTCTAATAAATAGACTGACATGTCCATGTTTGATGAATTATTTTGGATTGAGTTTGTAGGACAAGAGACAGATTTCATAACTTCTGGATTCCTTATGATTAGAGCAACTAGACTGTGTTTGAATCTCAGCTCTGCTACTTACTTTGTGAAAGTGACATAGTTGTTTCTCTGCTGTAAACCTTAGTTTCCTCTTCAATAAAATGAGGATAATAATCCTTCCTTCAGGGTTGTGAAATGTAAAGGAGCTGTTGCCTAGAAAGCAAGTGAGCCCAGTGCCTGCACATTAATAGTCCTCAGGGATCCTGTTGCTCCTGTAGCCTCAAATGAGAGCCAGCTGCAGAACTTCTTATTTATATTTGTCTTCAAGCATCCCTCTTTTCCCCCGAGCCCTTGTCTGCCTGGCTCTGTGCTGAGCTCTACAACGGGAAAGCTGGGAAAGGATCTGGACTTTGAGGGGGATAAAAAAAATTCACACTGGCTAACATGATGTGAATTCAAGGGGCAGAGTTGGGGCTTGGGACCCTCAGAGGAGGAAGAGAGCCAATTGGGGAGGGCAGTCTGGGGTATTCCTGGAGAACCTGTCCAGTGCTCCTGTGTCCTGGAGCTGGAAGAGGGTTAGGAACCCTTAGGGGGTTCTCAGGAGCAGAAGCCTCTGGCACCTTTGTCCTCACCTGGGGTAGGTAGGTATGCCTATCTTGGAGGGTGGCTCTGTCTTTGCACAGCCCTCAAGAGCCGGGCCGAGTTGATCTCCAGGTCTCCTGCCATGTCTCCACACTCCTACTGCAATGGGCCCCAGAGAGGCACAGGCACCTACCTGTCTGAGAACACCTCAGCAGGTGGGTGGTCCAGCTAAAGCTGGAACTCAGGTGTGCAGCCTCCTAGTCTAGGTCTCTCCGCCAACACTAGGGTTGCCCTCACAGTATGCTCACCTTCCCTCGTACCAAAAGGTGACTGACGGGGAAGTTGGACACAGATTGGAGGATGAATTATACTGGGTTCCCGGTAGGATCTGGAGGCACTGTTTGGTGGGTGGGTGGATCTCCTAGTTATTCTATTTATCTAGTGTGGGAGGCCTCTCAGAACCCCCTCTAAGTCCCAGGCTTTGTTCCAGCTGGGTTAAGCCAAGGTACACGTGAAATACAGGAAGGAGCTCCTCGACACTGCCCTGGGCTCCACCAACAGGTTCAATTTAGCAAAGTGAAAGTTCTTGCCCAGGTTAAAGGGATCCTCCTACAGAGGCCCAGGAGTTGGCAGCAGCTGGAGCGGGGCTGGAGGCCTGCGCCTTTAAGGAGCCAGGGGGCGGAGGGGCGGGGCAGGAAGAGGACTCCCAGGAGACGGCGCCACCGGCTAGGTCTTTTTTTGGGAGGGGGTGGGCCAGACCCTTCCGTGGGCTCCTCCCCGTTCGCGGCGGCCGCGTGCCCTTCCGCCCGCAGCGGGAGGGGAGGGCGGGGGGCGCCCCGCTCGGCGCCCGGCCCACGGCCCACGGAGGCGCAAGTTTGTTGACTTGGAGGGAGTCGCTGGGGCGGGGGCGGGTGCTAATAATACCCGTTCGTTCCGCATCCGCGCTTTACAGTTTACACAGCTGTCACTCTCCTTACTCCTTAATTAATAATAAAAATAGCCGCCGTTCGGGCGCGCCGGCTGGATGCCAGGCCCGGTGCCGCGCGCTTTACGAGCGCAGCCGCACGGAGCCTGCCTCCGTAACACTATCCCCACTTCACAGAGCGGGAAGCCGAGGCTCGGGGCGGCGCTGGGACTTGCCCGGGGGCGCGCGGCGGGTCCGCGGCCGGGCCCGCGACGCGGGGCAGGGCGAGGCGGGGCGCGGGCGCTCCCCCGGCCCGGGGAGCGCGGGGGCGGGGCGGCGGGCGGGGCGGAAGGCGGGGGCTGCGGCGGCGGCGGATGGCCATCTTAAGTGGCCGCCGAGAGCCCAGGGCCGCTTCCCCGGGGACCCGGGCGCCGGAGCAGCCCCGGAGGTGGGGGTCTGCATGGGGCGGCCGGGGCTCTGAGGAGAGGCGGGGACCGGGGGGTTTGAGGGAACTTTCTTCTGGACGGGCAGGGGGAGCCTGCTCGTCTCGGACTGCTGCACCCCTCCGGGCCCGGCCCGCGAGCGTAGGGGGTGGTGCCAGGGAACTTGGCCGAGAGGGGGAAGGGCTCTGCCGGGCAAAGGAGGGACTGCGGGACTGTGCGTGAGGGGCGTCAGGACATTGGACCTCGTCTGCCGTGTGTGGGAGGTCGGGACTCCGTGGAGGGGATCCCCCGGTGGGATTTGTCAGGGCACAGACCCGGTGGAGTTGGGGGTTCAGATCTAAGAGGGGTGGGTTTCACCGTAGTTGGGGGTCCTGCCCGCTTGGATGGAGGGGAGAGGAGGAGGGAAGGTCCGTCCTGGATCCTTCCCGGGGTGGGGGAAGCCGGATCCAGCGGGGCTGTACGGGGCCGAGTGGAAAGTGTGGAATAAGACCTCTGTGGGGTTAGGGGTCATATCATTGAGAGTATTGACGAGGGCTGGATTCCGCAGGGGGCGCCGGGACCGCGAAGTGTTGGGGCGCAGGATGCGGGGACTTGGACTTTGGAGGGGGCTTGGGGCTTGGCTCTCTCCGGATTGGTGGTGGGAGGCAGGATCGTTGCGGGGTTTGAAGGTGCCTGGCCGAATGTGGGGCATCATCCCCGGGGGAAAGTGGGCAGGGTCGGGCCGTGGCCGAGCGGAGGGGAGGCGCCGCGCCGGCCGTGCGCTGCGTCGCGCCCTCCCCCGCCACTGCTGAACAACTTTTCTTTCTCTTCAAGTTGAGGGCCGGCGCTGCAGGCGGCGGCGGCGGCTGCCTTGCGGCGAACCAGGCGGCCTGCACGGCAGAGCGCGGAGCCCCGATCCCGGCTCTGTCCGCCCACGGATCCTCGGGCCCGGCGCCGGGCCGGCCCCAGCAGCCGAGTTCCGGGCGATGGCGGGGGCGGCGGGTGCGGGCGGCGCTGAGCCCTGCGCGGCATGGCCTCGGCGTGCGGGCGGCCGGGCCCGGCGCGGGCTCGGGGGCGAGCGCTGGGCAGCCGGCCCCGGCTGGTACACGTGACCTGAGCCGTGCTGCCGCGGGAGGAGCTGCTGGCCGGGTGGCCGCGATGGGCTTCCTGGTCCGGACCAGTGAGGAGTGTGGCGGGGGCCTTCGCATCTGTGTCTGCTGTGAGTGGAGCTGGGCTGGCGGAGACGGCACGAGTTCTGTGGGGGGCCTAGTGGGTGACTGCCGGTCAGAGGCCGGCCCGCCTCCACCCCAGAGGTAGGGGCCTTGGCTTTATCCTGGGGCTGAGGGAAGGATGCAGGGGGCACTTCCTTCCTGCTGTGTCTGGGCACTTTAGGGCCTTGAGGGCAGGAGGATGTGGGTTCTGCAGCCCAGGCGCGCAGTGATGGGAGGAAAATGCAGGCAGATCCCCTCAGACATGCTTCAGGTAGAAGAGATGCAGCTCCAGACGTGCTTATCACGACCGGTGCAGTTCTGTTGTGTAGGGATTGAGTGTGAGTGGTGGGTAGGCAGGAGTTGGACAGAGGGACTGATGGGGTGTGTGAGGAAGGCTCCTTTCTGTGCTCTTGGTTTTGCCCTAGCTGTGTATGGCTAGCAGGATGTGGGTGGTTGTGAGAGGAAGGTTGGGAGGACAGGATGAGCTGTACTGGGACACTACCATGTATGTCTATGAATCAATTAAGAGAGTAATGTGTGGCTCTGTTGAGCCTGTTTATCTGGGCTGTTTAGCCTGCTCATGAGTGCTGAGAGTAGAATTAGCTTGCACTCTGTATTTGGGTCCTGTGGTTGTCCTGCTCACCTGGTTTGTGGTGTTGGTTTGGGGTGAGTTAGACTCTTCGTTTTGCAGTCTTCACCTGACACTGTCCCCTGCCTTGCCGAGTCTGACTGCTGGTTCGGGCTTCTTGGGCTGTGGAGGGGCAGTAGCGGTGGGGGGAGTCTGTGTAAGGCTGCTGTGTTTAGATATAGTTATGTTCTTCCCTACTTCTGAGAGCCCCCTCCTAAGCCCCTAGCCCTCTGTCCACTCCTCACCCCTTTTTCTCCTGACATCTTTGGGGAGTACATTGGCCTAAACTAGGGGAGACATTTTTTTTTGGAGACAGAGTCTCACTTTTGTTGCCCAGGCTAGAGTGCCGTGGTGTCAGCCTAGCTCACAACAACCTCAAACTCCTGGGCTCAAGCAATCCTCCTGCCTCAGCCTCCCAAGTAGCTAGGACTATAGGCATGTGCCACCATGCCTGGCTAATTTTTTCTATGTATTTTTAGTTGTCCAATTAATTTCTTTCTATTTTTAGTAGAGACAGGGTCTTGCTCTTGTTCAGGCTGATTTCGAACAACTGACCTTGAGCGATCCTCCCGCCTCAGCCTCCCAGAGTGCTAGGATTATAGGCATGAGCCACCGCGCCTGGCCATGGGGAGACATTTTTGGTTGTCATAACTAGGATGGTGCTGTTGGCGTCTGGTAGGTAGAAGTCAGGGGTGCTGCTAAACATTCTCCAGTGCACAGGACAGTCCCCATAACAAAAAAGTATGCAATCCAAAATGTCAGTAGTACAGAGGTTGAGAAATTCTGGCCTAGGCAGTTGACCTGCTGAGGAAGGGCCCCTGTAAGTCTCAGTTGATGCCTCAAGTCTGAGGCCCAGTAGGGGGAGACTGATTCAGGACACACAGGCGCATGAATATCCTGGGAGCCCTGCCTCCCAGCCCCCTAATTAGGGAGGGGAAGGAGGCAGGTGCTAGGTCAGCTGCTGAGTGGGAGGGGGACAGCTGGGGCCTGTGTCTGGGTGAGGAGCATTATTGTCCAGGAGAGGGAGAATCCTGGCTCAATTGCCAGGGGGAGGGTATGAATGGGGTGAGGGGTCTGTCTATATGTGGGGGCTTCAGCTTTGCATCTCAGAAGTCTGGGGGTAAGGAGCAGAAATAGGCCATTTCTTAGATTTGCCAAGTAAACATACACTTGCTTACCTGTGTGTACACCCGGATGCACATGGATAGCATTCGAGACACACCCCTGGCCCGACAGGC